AAAAAAAAAAAAAAAAAAAAAAAAAAAAAAAAAAAAAAAAAAAAAAAAAAAAAAAAAAAAAAAAAAAAAAACTCTCCACTAAACAAGCATCAAGATTATCAAATCAATACACCTCAAGAAAGCATCAAGATTATCACATAGATTTCAGCATTGCAGTAACTTGCATGTAATTGCAAATTTAACTTAAACTTGAAGATCAAATTCATTATATTTTTTACTTATTACAAAATAATTTCACACATTTACTAAAAAGGAAGTATGGCCTCTATAAATTTTAAATAATAAAAAAATTTAGAGTGGATACATCTACCATGCAATTTCATTTTCCAAATCAACTCGTTGAGAAAGAAAAAAACACATGTCTGCAAAATCATACAACTATAGGCTATACCTCGAGAAGATCGTTGGATTTCTCCAACCGCTTTACCAAGCCAGCCTGACGGCATATCTGGGCAGCAATTTCATTGTGAGGAAGACCTGCAGCTGAGAAAAGAGGGATCTTTTGTCCTCTAGCAATGGAATTCATGACATCAATTGTAGAAATCCCAGTCTGAATCATCTCTTCAGGATAAGTTCTCTCACTAGGGTTTATAGAACTCCCTAAGGAAGAAGAATAGCACATCAGGAAAATAAAATATAGTAAACTGTGAACTTATTAAAATGGAAAAATAAGGAAAATGATTTCTCTAGATTTCCAGCAACATACCAGAAATGTCCAAATAAGCCTCAGGCAAGATAGGAGGACCATTATCAATGGGTTTTCCAGAACCATTAAAAATTCGCCCAAGCATGTCCAAAGAGACTGGAGTTTTCAAAACCTACAAAAAAGATCAGAACAGAAGTAATGAGCAACAAAATTAAGTGTAGAACAAGGTTAAAATATAGAGAAACTCAATGAATCTCTTTATCAATTTCAAGTTTCCAAGACCTGGTGGCTGGCAGCAGAATTTCCAAAAAAAAAAAAAAAAAGGTAAGCATGGTGCCAGACGCTAGTTTGAAGTACCCTCCGAAAATTTCGGTTAAAAAGGAATAAACAATTTTCAAGATTAAGCGTTGAACATGAAAAGTCTATGCAGTTGAACCGATCCATTTATAGGCATCGGTGATTAACCTCGTATTGTTTTTTCCTTTATACAGGTCTCTTGTCAATTCTTTTTCCCTCTATTGAATCCCTTTACAAAAGACGAGTCCCATTAATTGATCATAACTATATCGTGGAAATGCTACTAAATCTTTCCGACTGAATGTTCACGAAAAAAAACAGAGAGATTCGAACAAATTCATTTGACAAGATAAATTCAATCATTTCTTCTATTTATAATAGGGTTCGTACCTCTCCGGTAAATTGCACAGTTGTATATTTGTTATCAATTCCAGATGTCCCTTCAAATACCTGGAAATTGAAAGCAACAAATCAAATATTATAAGTAGATGAAAAGCTTTCCATGAATAAACAACAAAAAAGAAAGTGAGGCAGTACAATCTCAGTAGAAGATTAGCAAAAATTAATGGTATCAATTGACCAAAACCAGTGTATAATCTGGACACGAACACTCAACCAAAGAGCGAGCACATTATGCCTGAACCTCGATCCTACGTAAGAAGTCAGTCTAATAGTGAAACTGGAAATAAAACAGAAAAGCGCTAACGAAGATAACCTGAACAACAGCTTTCTCCCCATCAACTTCCAGGACTTGACCACGCCTGGTTGATCCATCTCCGAGACGAATATTAACGATCTCCTGAAACTTAGGTCCCTGGGAATTTAAGAAAAAGAGTCAGTACCTAGAATCTGTATACAATATACTAGACGAACCAGAGAGAAAGGATCCATACCTTGACTTTGTCCAGAATAACCAAGGGACCAGCAACTCCCGAGACTGTTCTATATTCTGCAGCACGAAAACCAATCGAAAATCATTTACACAGAACAAAAGTTTCAAGATGCTTGATTCTGAGGCTTATATCCATTTGATCACAATAAAACTGAAAAAAATTGAGAAATGATAGCAAAGACAAGCTATTGAAAACCTACCCATGCCAATCTCCAGCGTTCCCT